TTTTTTTTTTTTTTTTTGAAAAATAAAATAGAAAGATGGAAAATTTTATTTTATAGAGAGTGAAATATATTTGAAATTTTAAATATGTATATATTAATCAATGTATATGTGATGTTAAAAATAATAAAATATTAATTGATATATAAAAATATGTGAGTAGAATAATAATTTTGTTGAATAATTTTAAATTATATTTGTGGGATTTGTGGGGGGAAAGGAGTGAGATAGAATGGATAGTCATTTTCGTGAAAACGTTTTGTTTCATTTTCAATTCAATGAGATAATCTTCCCTAATTAAAAAATAAAAAAAAAAGAAATAATAATAATAATAATAATAATAATAATAATAATAATAATAATAATAATAATAATAATAATAATAATAATAATAATAATAATAATAATAATACTTTCATCCCGCGACATCAACTTTTTAAACTGTGTTTGAAATGAATTGAATGATGTCCAAAGAAAAAAATAAAATAAAAGGAGAGAAACTATTCAGTTAATTACAGTTACAATAATAAATTACAAATAATAAATTACAAATCATACAGTAAGTACATTGTTGTTACATCAGTAGCACAGCCAAGGCAGCAAATGAAACCCAATTCCAATATAGTGAAAAAAAAAAAAAAAAGCATGAACAAACTTCAAATTTGGCGCTGGCCGATTTAGTCGCATGACGAGAATGCACAATACGGCTACTCGGTAATTTGGGGCTCTTGAAGCCACTTTGCACGATAGCCGGTTCCTTTGCAATCCGAACAACAAGCAGAACCCTAAAAGAAGGAAAAGGAAAAAAACAGTTATCATGTTAAAATCTTTATGTTGTTTCACTTCACCACATGTGAATGAAAGTCACTTAAAACCATGTTTGGTACACCTAGATAAGTGAATTTTGAGCTTATAGTTGATAGTTTATGATAGTTTATCAGATATGACTGAAAAACTAGCTGCTAGGACAATAGTATGGTAAAATTAGCTGGTTGAAACAAAATTTCAACCAAAGAAGTTTATGAGATAAATTCGAGCTTTTAAACTATAGCTAACCAGATAAGCTTATAACTATAAGCTGACTTATGACGTTTACCATGATGTGTATCACATGATATCATGGTAAGTGTGCCTATAACAGTGTCACTCGGCGTACTAAAATAGCACATGAAGCACGCCACTATCGAATTAAAAAAAAAAAAAGGATAGATGATTTATTACCTTTCCCGAGCATATAATGCACGTGGTGTTTCTAGAAGGGACCTGGCACAACATGTTATCACCAATAATGAAAAATCCGGTTCCATTGCACCATTTGCAGTCGACGTGCCCCTTTGAGTCACACGAAGGACAAGCAACAGGCCTCGGTTGCTGCATTTTGGGGACACATGCTTCAATAAGCGCATATACGAGCAAATAGGACACTCGAGCAGAAAATTTTCCAAGATTGTCTAGAGATAATCCTGACAAATACCCATACACAATCTGAGGCTATTTTGGTTATGTTAGCTGATAACTTATAAATGAATTCTGAGCTTATAGTTGATAGCTTATGACTGAAAACCTAGTCGATATGATAAAACTTAAAATGTCTGGTAAAATCAGTTGATAAGCTAGCTAAGATAAAAAATTCAGTGGTCTTACTACCCAAAGAACCCAAAGAAGAAGCTTATGAGATAAGTTCAAGCTTTTAAGAAAAGTTCATCCTAGCTTATTTGTACATAGAAAACTCATAAGCTAACTAAATAAGCTATAAGCTAACTTATGGTGCTTACCAAACACATATTAAACCCATTAGGGCATGTAGAAAAATCTCAAAGATGAAGGTTTTTTAACGACTACTATTACGGCAACGGCCATGGGAGTAGGATGAAAGTCACCACAAAACTTGTTTTGGACTTTGGATGATAGTATGTAACAAAGATCTTAAACCTTTGAGCTATACTTGGGATCATTTTAGCAAATTCGATAATATTCACCAAGCATTGAGTCGATTCATCTATTCTCCCCACTTTCAAATCCTCCAAAGCAACCCACCTTCAAATGAATTTCCATGACTACATTAACACGGAAAAAAAATTATAAAATCCAAAGCTGATTTTTTTTCTTTCCTCACAAAATACACTGTCTGCCTTAACTTCATCTAGCTAAAAGTACACCAAACGTTAGCAAATTTGATAACATTCACCATGCATTGAGTCAGTTCATATATTCTTCACCCCAGTTTCAAAATCCTCTAATGCAACCCACTTTTAAATGAATTTCCATGACTATATTAATATGGAAAATAACATTATAAATCCAATGCTGGTTTTTTCTGAATCTGCTTAATCGGCACACTAATCGGCCACCATTCGAATCCCGGATCTGGACACTGGTAATACTAAAAGGTCCCTCTAGCCACCTTCTCAACTTCATCTAGCTAAAAGCACACCAAACCTCAGCAATCACAATTATCATCAAGATTTTCAATTTCACTTCAACAACATGACAAAATATCTGCAATTAAAA